ACCCAAAACCTTGTTACTATTTTCAGATATTCTTATTTGTGTCCCTTCTCTAAAACTGGATGATATATGATTGTGCTTGATTACCGCTCCCAAATATAAAACACTGTTTTAAAGTGAAGTTTTCGGAGCTTCGATATGTTCAAATTATTTTGTCAGCAATTACTTCAATACAATAATTAAAAGCTTCGCGAGAGGATAAAAAAAAATGATGAAGTTATACTTTCAATGGACACGAATTTCTACCTGGATATCTTCAATCACATCTACAAATATTAAATGCCATCTGGAATTATTTCTTAATGAGAAAGTGAAGAATTTTTGAAGAGTTCAAATGTTCAGGGATAAATCAATACTGTAGATTTTCAAATATCAAAGAGGAGTTTGGCGATCATATTATACTAATATGAAACGAGATACTCAGTTTTGATTGAACAAATTTCAGACGGCAGAAATAATAATTCGAATGAGTTGCAGAGGTCTGCACGAAATCCTTATATAAAGATTTCATATTTCATAAAGATTAACCATATATCAAAGTCTCTTCCAAGTTTTTACTTTTAATTGAGTCTGAATTTCAAGATTCCAGGCGAAGTGGTACTGGAATTAGATCGATCTAGAATATAGAGAATATCATTGCGGAGGATGTTTGGGTAACCGGAACTGTTTCGATAGCAAACAACATGCATAAATCACTAAGCATATGAAACGTATAACTCTGTCATCATGCCAGACAAGTTCGGATACTCACAATTTCCGTTATTTCCCTTAATAAAGAAACGGTATTTCGGAATAATTATGAATTTTTATAGATTTTTAGAGCCGATTATTTGGTGAACATTAAACACCCAGTATTAGTAAATTTTAATTAATTTTTAAATGTGAAAATTTGTAAAAAGAAGCAAACCCTTTACAATACCCCAATTTCACCATGTATGGATTGCACGTTTAATGATAGCGATTAAAGTTGAGGAATTATGTTAACTGAATTTACACAATCAGTTCAGGTGTGACTCTCAGCTAGCATACAATGTTGTTTTGTCTTTTGACCCGACTTTGTGACATATGATCTTTCTGATGTAGTACATCGATATATAACAATCATTCAAAGTACAATTACACTTGTGAATGTTGAAATGGATTCGCCAAAAACGCTGACGATGAATGTCTCCCACCGTATTTTTACTGTTTTAGACGAATGCCGTACCGGCGATACAACGAGATTCTGGGATCGGAACGCATTGTGAGTGAATCCGGTTGGCTCACATACATGAAGTTGTAATATTGATCACAATAGAAACGAGAAAAAGTGCACTTATTTTGGCATTGGTATGCACGATAATATGAGAAAGTTTAATTTTTGATTATCCACGGCGATTTCCGTAGTATTTCATTTCATTTGTTGACAGAAAGCTGATAGAGGAATAATTTATCAGAAATAGAAAAGATGCTTTAGTACAGCAACATTTTACTGCTCAGGTTAAATTTAATTGAATTGAATTAAATAGTTATTTAGAAATTAACTTATCCTGAAAAATTGGCTCTATAATTGTTTCTTATCATGCAAAAATAAAACTTTATAACATTTTATATCTAAAAAAATATGCAATTTATCGTTGGATAGTAAGTAATATCAGATCGAACAACAGCAGATTGCCCGAAATGTAATCCACAAGTGACCTCTTCGTAGAGCTATCTGCACCTGCATGTTGGTTTCAAAGACATATTGGATTGAGTTAAACTGTACAGGTTTTTTATTTAGAGCTCCATTCAGGTACGAAGGTTAAAAATGGGAAGCCTATTTTAAGTTTCATAAAAGTCGCTATTAGGATAGAACTAAGGCAGTTACCAATGACCAGTACCACGTACTGCAATCACATCTAACAAATAATGAGTCAAACGATTTTCTAGATCGAGACAGCAAGATTCACTCATTTTTTGATCTGATCTTTTAAGAATGATAATTGTTTAGATACTAATTCAGTGATCGTTCCATCTTAATTTAGCACTTTTTTTGAAGTGACGAGATATATTTTGAAACGTGTCGTTTTAAAAGAAAAAAAGTGGAAAAAGAAAACTCATCCAGAAGTTTTCAAAAAAGTTTGTTCTTCATGACTGATCAGAAAAATGTACCTAAAATTAGTTTCAGTCATCTTTATTTTAACTCAAACAAACCTTCAAAGAAAAAAAAATACTAGTAGACCAATGGATTAAGCATTCTGGGGCTTCTGATATGTATACTGATATTTACAAGTTACATGACGAATGTATAAATGGAAACCCCCTGAACTCTTAAATTTCAAATCGCAGTAGACATTTTAAACTCCACCCTCATAAGTTAATTTTCACCGAAATGACAAGCAATATTTTAAATCTACTGCACTTCTCGTCTAAAAGAATTTTTTAAATTTGATTCTGGTTCCTTTTCAAAAATACAAATTGTTTCGAAGGCCATAATGAACTATAAGTGTATTGTCAAATAAACAAGAAAAAAGTTGACATGCTGAATAGTTCTGGCGATTTTATGACTAATGATAGCATTTCTCTCAATCTAAATTTAAACGTTATTTAAAAAAATGCATGTAATAATAAGTTTTGCTACCATAAAACTTCATTATTGAATATTAGCTGTATTTTTTTTACCATACCTTGATGGTTTCGTTTATCCGATAACTACAAAATTTATTTAAATCAAATAATTATTAATTCTAAGTGAATATTTTTCAAGTTAAAAGAGTCTACGCTTCTTTCTCATGAACCTTTCATCTATGAGTTATTTTTTGCTTGGCAGAAAAACTCAAAAAAGTCGAAAAAGTTTTGATTATAAAGGAAATTGCATAGAAACCACTGCGGAGTGATTTCTGAATAAATTTCCGATAAAATTTTCCCTGCCAATTTTTGCCACTCGAAAAATCCTGTATTTTCAGCATTATTAGTATCACAGAGTTTTCCACTAAATTTGGATGGATAGTCACAAAAAAATGTTGAATAAATGCTTGTTGTCCAACATGTTCCATTACTTATGATGAATTCAAATCGCAACAACAAACAATCGTACGAATTCTAACAAGTGTGATAATACAGAGTTTTGACATTTGTTTTTTTAAATTGAAAAATTTTACGCAAATATTTGAAAAATTAGCAAACTTGATTCATACTGAACGCAAAAAAATTTAATCTGCAAAAACATTCGTACGTTATCATGTCTTTTCCACCTTTAGCAATGTATGTGACGCCATTCTTACATGGATTCGTTGAACATGGATCTGATTTTGAAAGTCCTTCTTTAACTTCATATTTGTCGCTTTGAATAGGAAAATAAGCGACAAGGAGTCGAATTTTATGGTATCTTTGGCATTGCAGAAATGACAATAGAGAAAAAGTATAATTTAGTCCTTAGTCAGTTTCAAAATGGTCAAAATTTCAAGGTCCAAGAATGTTGTCTGAAATACCGTTGTCGTTCCTAGTCGCTTTATTGATGACCTCAGTGCAATCAGTTCTTGTGTTCATGGGCACATTTACAGGAATATGTTCGGTCATTTCATTGAAATAACATGGATCTTTATATTCACATGGATTAGCTATAGAACACATATTTTCGCTGATAACACTATCATTACTACTATTTCATTCCACGTTTAATACTGCTATCAATTGGTGATTTTTTCGTTTCACCTCAACAGTTTATCTCAGTCTTTCTGTCGTTGTTTGGAGAGTTTTCACTCTTGAAAAGTAAGAAGTTTTCTAAACAGAAACATCAGAATTTAGCGGTAAATTAGAATGTTTTTTAGTTGGAAAGATAATGAACTATTAAGCTGCTACAGTTCTTCGATAAACTAAACCACTTCTCAAGCATTTCTATAAAGTTGATAAGCAATAAGTGTGAATTAGTGATCATATTAATATCTAAGATTCTGGCAGATAATTTACCAAATTTGCCCACTCTCTAAACGTTCACTTTCTTCACGATCATGAGAATGCTTATCACGATGAGTCTTTTTTTGCCAAAAATTATTTAATGAAGTTTCACTTGTTTGCCTAATTACTTGTTTCGTTATATTTCAACTCCTAAGTTATAAAATTGTGAAATTCATCTCAGAAATGAAATTTGCATATAACAATAGTTAAAATATCACTACTTCCTGCTTCCAACAATCTCATTTTTATACCCTCCAAATGTTTTTATGAATAGATTTCACCTAATTATTATCAATCACTGTTGTCATTGCTTATCAATTTCCACGATTTTTCGAGTGCAACAAATATTTGATATTTTAATAAATACCTTAAAAATGTCAGGAAATAGACAAGTCAACCTCACTATGTCTACAGGTAATTTCATCCGAATTCCGTTTTTATGTAAGCTTTACACGACAAGGAACACAGGGATCATCGCGCTTTCCCTTATTCTTATGAATGAGGACAAACTGTGACAGAAAAAAATAAAAACCTCTAAAACAGTTTATGGTCCATGTTGACTTTTCAGATATCAGTATATACGCCACCGGCATGATCGGAGTATCGTAGGCTTTTAATGTCTAAGACATCAATTCGCTAATAAGGAAGCTTGAATTTTCTTGAAAAGAATCCTTCCAACAAAAGATTTACTATTCATTAATTCAAAATCATACAGGTACTTGGGTATTAAAATATTTTTGAAAACCATCATTTCTAACTGATCAAAATTTAAAATGTATTAAGACACGCACTTTTCGGTATAATGAAATTTGATAATTCTTTTTTGCAACTATCCGGTTAGATAAACGATATTTGTAAGTTAAGGCTTTTCAAGCCTTAACTATTTGGAAGCTATTTGAGGCTGAACGACCATACAAACAACCAAACTCAAATCTCGAACTGAAAATTCCTAGAAATTTCTAAGAATTCAGCATGAATTTCCATAGTTTTTAACTCACTTTCTTAGAGAAGTATCATGTCATTAGGCGAATGCTGGAACAAAAACCACAAAAATAAGTGGCAGGAATGTTCAATGTTCTTTGGAAGAATTCCATTTGCAGAAAAGTAGAAGATAACAAATGCCAGATTAGCTTCTCTCCATGTCCTAAAATGTCTGAGACATGATAAAAAACTCAAAATTACTTCCTCACATCTCATTACAAGCACTGTCAAGACCAATTATAGGAAGATTGACAGAGGAGAAAAAGGCGACAGTAACGTCCCGCAGAAGAGTTTCCAGTGCGTTTCCAGTGCTCTGAAACTGAAGTAACTCTTGAACACTCCAATAATGGTTTCAACCAAATCCTAAACTTCCAGAATGATTTTTAAGCCCAACTTCACGACCGGAATTGAAGAATTTTAAAATATACATTAACTGACAAATAATGTATAAAATATTTCCAAATTTTGAGATAACCTGAAACGAAATTGTAATGCACCAGCTTAAAATAGAAATGCATGAAATTGCCACAATGTTGCAAAATGAGAAACTGATATAGATATGAATGGCTGAAATTTATTCGTTGAAACCATCCACTTTTTTTTTCATTATTTTTGTGCTTTTTTATCATATCGTTACTTACCATAGGAAGTTAAAATGGATTGCATTTAATATCTGATAATTTTCAACATATAAATCTACTGAACTGAATGCAACATTAGGTGCATTCATCCTCACTCATTAGTTAAAGAAGTCATCCTTGGTGATACGTAAAATATATGGGCAAACTTGAACTTTATGAATTAACGCTCATCAATATTCCGCCGAATAATCAGAAAAGATGTGTGTGAATCTACAGTTCTTTTCCAAAGAAGTATGTAAGTAATCGTTGATAGAAACATTTCGCATACGGAAATCCGAATTTCCCATTGTCAACAGCCATGTTTTATGAGCAATCTCGGTGCCAATAAAATAATAACTTCAGTTCTATCAATCTTAAAACAGAACTACAATTGGGTCCAAATATAAAGAACTTCACGCTGAATCAGCAATTTTATACATTTCGCATGCTAACCGGCCGAAGTTTGTACCTTATCCAGAAAAACTTTTATATAATGCACTAAACACACTAAAGCAAAAAACGAGATTTTTTTTTACTACTACCGCTCCCGAAGCTATAAAAAAGTGTTCAGAAAGAAAAAATTTGAAATACGACTGTAGTTGTCATCTCAGCAGCATTGAACAAAATCATACACACTCATACTTCATTATAAACCAATGAAACAAAGTGAAATACAATCTGAAAGCCGAAAAAACGCCTATTGAAGCAAAGTGAAACTGACTTTCAGGTGGCCTTTTTTTTTTTTTTAGACTGATTCATTAGTAGAATTGCTCAGCTACGCCCAATTAAAATTGATTATAGACTTTTGAATTATTTTGCCATCTATTTCTCAGAATTCCATCTCCCCGATTCATTCCTATTCAGATTCTGTAGCTTTTAAAATCAAATGAAAACTGTTAAACAGATTCAAAGTTTCTGCTTCCACAAACACCTTGAACAGTACAGAAGATCCACAACCGACTTTCACCATTATCGGGGTTCATACATCGTTGAAAAAAACAAAGCTTGACTTTGAAACACCTTCATGAAAACAATCATAAAATCAAATAGAATATACATTTCTCCCTTGAAACTAAAATTACATTGGTTCATTGTGAATCTTCTACATTTGGTAATACATGATCAGCTAATTCTACTACCTGCTTCGGAAATTTCGGGGGTCCAATTAGTCGTATAACGTCTTCATAACTAAGCATTTCTTTCTCCAACAGCGAAGCTGCCAGCTGCAATTAAATACTCCTTAAATATGTCGTAAAAATTAGATTAAAAATACATAAAATGTGCAGTAAAAGATGAAGGGCAGCAAAAATCTTCCTATCATTTCTTTATGAATTTAACAAATATATTGGCCTTAAATAATAGCTTGGACAAAAAAATATGGACTTAACAAAAAACACTCAAACCAAATTTCAATCATAGTTGTAATTCATATTAATAGCAATTATGAACATAAGCGGAAAGAAAGGAGAAAAATCGAAAGCAATTAAAAAATAAATGTAGATTTTTGATCAGTATTATAATCCCTTAGATAAGAGATGAGGATAATATCGAAATATTCTTGAAATAATAAACTTAATTACTGAGCGTAAAAAAATCTGCTGAAATACAAATAAAGAGTGCTATACCTTTCTCAGTTTTTCTTCATTCATCTTCAAAATGCCTTCCGCAGTGAAATACGCTTTTGAAACTAATTTAGAAGCCTCCTGAAAAATGATCAACAGATGAATTCTCATTATAAATTAACTTATCAAACAACGAGTTGCAACTTGTATCTAACAAACAATATACCTGATCAATTAAATGTTGTAATTTCATGCTGAAAGGTTTTTTGTAAATTCCTAGTTCGCTTCGTTTGCTGTCATCCATCATCGGGAAACTCAGAGGACCTACGATTTCACTCATTCCGTATAGTTGCACTTGTGCATATGCCGACTTTGTAACCTGAAAAAATGGAATTTAAAAAAAAAAAGACAAGGTGCATACCACAAAAAAACTTCCAAACAAAAAGCAGTATGGTTTCTCTTCAAATCTCACAAATTTTCATATTTCATAAACAGTACAAATGAATTTCACCACACATTATATTTGAAATCCATTTTCCGGAAACTGATTGCCAGGAAAAAATCCCTTTCGATCCGAAATAAAATAAAAGTTCTTAGTTGTAATTTAACGCCATTTTCATTTTCAATAAACACCTTTTTTAAGTCATCTTCGGCGCCCGTAGTGACACGTCCAAAAATAACATTTTCTGCTGCCCGGCCTCCAAGCAGCATGCACATACGATCAAACATCTGTAATAAAATGCACATACTATCCATAAAATTCGGCGCTCTTAAATGATATTGTATATCTGCGATAAGGAATTTATGTTCGGCTGAATTAATGAGTCTTTGTCAAAATTTGTTATTAGCTTAGGAAAGCAAGTTCAAAACGACGAAACACCTCTTCTTTAGTTAATATTTTTCGCTCTCGCGGACTGTACTGAGCAAAACCAAGTTTAACGCTTGTTCGTGGGATAATGCTAACCTGAAATGAAGGCACATAGAAGAGAATGTCACTGGTATAAGATCCAGAAAACAAAACTAAATTCGGAAGAAAAAACTCGCTATAATCAAATTTAAAATAATATTACGAGCGTAGCGACAAACGCCTTATGCAAATACCAGGATTAGCTGGCTATATGATCTAAACAATGTCATACAATGCAATATGAAAGACTACAGTGATTATTAATAGATAACAGTGAATCAATCGAGTTCAGGAATCTGTAAAGAAATTTCTGATTAATCAGTAAAAAACCCTTAGCAAGGCATCAGTGTGTTCCATCAACCATCCGATCAAAGCATGACCAGATTCATGATACGCTACAATTTCACGTTCCTCTTCTACCATTGATCGACTCCTTTTTTCTGCACCTAGAATGAGATCAACCGTTAGAGGTAGCTATTATAATGCTGAGATCAACCATCAAGTAATTACTATAAAACATCTGAAGATTTACAGATTCAGGAATCCTACATTTTATGCATGAAATACAAAACGAAAGACCTGCAAGAATTCTCTGCAATGATTCGTCTAGATCATCCACTGTCACCAGACCCTTCTCTGATGATGCAGCCCGAATCGCTGCTTCATTTACTACATTTGCGATGTCTGCTCCTAAAATGAAGCTAAAGAAACCATTAGAACCTAATTGTACCAGAAAGCTGTTATCTAACAACAATACTGGTTTCTTTTTCAATAAAAACAGAGATGATCGACATTATTTCAAGACTGAATGTACAACAATGACTGGAACCATTAGAAGAACTTGTTCTAAGTAGGAATGGCGGCACTGGTACATAGCATGGAAGTAACCTTATATTAATACCCTCTGACGTATCAATTCGGATTTGGATCAATTTGGATTTCCATAAACTGATACAGAAAGCTATTAAAGCATTGAAAATAAAACAAAACAGAGTTTCCATTGAAAAAGCACTAACTTGAAATCAGCAATAAATTCTAACAAAACATAAAAAAGCACACAGTTTTCAATAAATTAAAAGTATACAAACTTGTTTTGACCTGAAAATCGTGGCGTTCTTTGAGCAAGCCTCTTGGAATAATATTGCGGTTCATGATCCAACTTAATTTTGCTCAAATACAATTCGAACATTTCCTGCCTTTCCAAGGCGGTTGGAAGGTCGATAACGATGTGTCGATCGAATCGACCAGGGCGTAGCAGAGCCTGGAAAATATATTTCAAAATAAGCTAAGCAAATCTACATTAACCGAATTTATTTCGCCACAAATAAACTATTGCTGACATAGTCAGATATCATATAACAAATTGGATTCAGAAAATTCATGGGGGGAGGGGGGACATTAGTTTACACCAGGTTCTACTTACAGTCATTTTTACAGTGAGAACTCATTTATGAATCAATTTTTCTCGAAAACTAAACCTTATCCAATATATCGCCACGATTTGTTGAGCCAAGTAAAACAATACCACGACCACTATCAATACCATCCATCTCTACCAGCAACTGATTTAAGGTCTGCTCCTCTTCTCGACTTCCACCACCCGTAGCTTCGCTGGAATTATTAAAATTCAAAACAGGAAATATTAAAGGAGGTTCAGCTAAAATTACCTCTGGCTTCTTTTGCGTCCTATTGCATCTATTTCATCGATATAAATGATGCAAGGCGCCATTTTCTTTGCCGTTTTGAACAAATTTCTGATCCTAGATGCTCCCAAACCTGAATGATAGTTAAATTAGCCATTAAATGAAATAACTGTACTGTTTGTCCTATTATTTAAGCATAAAGGAATAGGAAATATAGACATATTCATTAGAGTTCCGTAAAAAAGAACGAAAGCACCTTCCTTAAGTTAAAATAAATACCTCCAATCATTTCAACAAATTCAGTGCCATTCATCGAAATAAATGGCACTGAAGATTCGGTAGCAAGGGCTTTTGCCAGAAACGTCTTTCCACATCCAGGTGGACCGGTAAGCAATGCACCTTTTGGTAGACGAGCTCCCAGTTTCTGAAAATTTATTTCAATTTTCTCAGAAGGTACAATTTTAAAAAACCTCTTTCGTTTGGTAAAACGCATGTGCGTTTGATAAGGAAGGTCTCAAAAGAATTCAACTAATTAGTATGTTATTGCTACCAACGACAGAATTCCATCAAGAAATAAAACTCGCTATTAAATAGGGAAAAACGAAAGACAACGTATTAGCAGTTTGTAATAACCATATATTTTTCAGGACGTTTGAGATAATCCACAAATTCTTCAATCTCAACTTTAGCTTCATGCAAACCGGCAACGTCTTTGAACCTTATTTTTTGAGCGTTAGTGTCATTTGGTTTGATTACATTCAGCTTCATTTTAAGACCAAGCACATCTTGAAAGGAACTCTGAAAACAGACCTAGCAAATCTATTGTTTATGAGATAAAAAAAAGTTTGCTGAAAGATTATTAGAATTCTTTAGAAAGTGAATAAGTTGACACTCACTTTCATTGATGGAAGAGACTTTGAAGCTCCGAATAGCATTAACGCCAACAAAAGCAACAGCAGGAGATCTCTACAAGGAACAACAGTTAATAAGGTATGAAGAAATAGAATTACATGCACACATAATAGGAAACATACAGGAACCCTTGTATTGAAGTGTCGATAATTGCAACTGGTGCCCATTCTTCTGGTGGTCTTCCCAAAGCAGTTTCTATCGCGCGTATATCAGCTTCCAGTCTTTTAGTATCCATAGCTGTCACCACATATACTTTCTGCCAACCTATACCTGGCCTGAACATCTGAAAACATATGTAATTGATTTCTATAAAATAGTCAAAAATTACAAGTTAAATTGCTTTTAGTTCAATCCCACTTCATATTGTCAGTTACTTGTTGCAGTGAATTTTTCTCAAAACAACTAATCTGTGTTTGTAATAACTGCCAACGAAGTAATTTTAAAGTGCCGAAAGTATTCTTACCGATTCAGAAACGAAATATACTAAATATAAACACGAGCTTAAACACTAGGGAAAAATTCTTACATTGTATCCACAGTCACGGAAAGGTAGATTCTCCACTGGACTCGGCTTCATGATGATACGAGCAACATTATTTCCAGTTATTACAATTTGTTCAATCTAAAAAGGCATTCCGCAAAATTCACCCGTAAAATTTGACCAAAAATTTTCAGTAAACTTCTGCCATTCTCTGGAAGTAACTATTCTCGAAATTATTTAATACCACGTTATTTTCTGAACATGGATACTAATAATTTGTATAAATTTATTGGATTACATAGTTTGCCAAATAGTATTGAATACCTTAATGAGTGATTAAAAAAAGGAATTCCTTGTTCAAGAATGCAACTCTAACTTACTGAAATTTGTGTAGAGATTAACATCTCAATTGTTTGTCAACTACTCGTCAAGCTACGGTGCTTGACTATCTTCTACAGCTGCTAAACATTTCCCTTAGCAATTCAAATATGTATTACGGTTATTACGAATTCAGTTATTATGAAAATAATCTTTACCTGCCCCGATGGTACTATGTAGGTGAGAAAGTCATGTATTGTCAATTGATTTGCATATTTCGTCTGCCATACGCTTGTTAAAGCCGATGTTATCAGTGCTGCCACTACACTTCCGATTAATAAACCCATGAAAAATTTTCCTAAAATTTCAAATAAAAGATTAGTAAGTAGGATACTAAAAAGAATAAAGTACTATTTTAATCTTATGAGAGAATTAGAATCTTGAATTGATTGAAATTTAAGGAAAAATTACAAAAACATATGTCGATGGATTCTGTTTTTATATAGAAGTGAGTGATTTAACAAGAATGGTTAATCATAAGAAATACGAGCTATATTTAAACTGTATCATTTGTCACCAAATATTTTACATTTAACAACCATTAACGGATTAAAAACATACTTAGTTTTTTATTATCAGGCTCTTTTGACCACTCTTCTTTACCTCGATCACCATCTTTATTGTTAACTGCATGCCGAACTGAAAAAAAATTCTTTCCTATGTGATTCCGATACTACTTGATACATGGAATCACTTGTAATTTGTTACGACCATTCAATTCGATAAGATACAGATATAAATGTCCATGAGAGAATATTACGGAGCAAAACTAATTCCATAAGCGCGGCTGTTATCCGAAACAAATCAGTATGAAAATTTCAATGCAATAAAATAGATTTCATGTGGTTAATGCGATAGTGTGGGCTGAGTTTTCAACTTCTAGCGTCAATTAAATCTGTCATGAGTTGGAAATTGCACAGTGATAACTTTTTTAGATATGTCGGAATGATACCAACTGACCGTTGGATGCTAGTAATCAAATGTTATGCAAAAAACGCACAATAATAAAAAATAAGACTAACCTGAAGATGAGGAAAAAAAACGTCCCCAAAAGGATGGCGTTAGCTGGTGTGATGACCAGGACGTTGAAGATGGAGTTTTGAAAAGACATTTCTTGGGAATTGTCTTGGGATATGAATGAACAAATGAGGACTGCAGCGAAATGTTAGCCTTCCGATGCTGTGCAATAAACAATGAGCGAAGCAATCGCTTACCGGAATAGCAGTCAATGAAACCTCCAACTCTCAGCATCTGAAACATCATCGCAGTTTTCCGTAATTTCTTTTTCGTCTCAACCGGAATTTTTTTAAACTGTGTGTGACTAAAAAGTATCGATACAAGATACACTGCAGTGAATGCACCGAGAATTTCGATACCATACTTAAAGGGATCAATAGTAGTTCAAGATAAGGACTCCCCGTGAAGAATTGCTCTACTCATACTTATTGGACGAGTACAAACAATATTGAATGAAAGTGTTTTAAATGATAATAATGGAGTAGTGATACTTACTCCATGCACAACTTTGTAATCTTCTTTTCTGAACTTTACTATTTTTTACAACCATTCAAAGGACCTGAAATATTATAACATCACATCCACCAATGTTACACGTTTCGAACAAAGAACCCCTCAATTTTTCTGACAACTTATCAGCAAATGAGAAGAATAAATACCGAGATGTAAATGTTCCAACGTCCAGGTTAACGTAAATATTACATCTAGTCTGTCAGATGCTTGTACTTGTTGTGTCAAGAAGTCTTTCAGAGCATATTCATTACCACATTGACGGCAGTAAGAGTGGACAATGTTTGCAGCTCCCCTACCCAGCCATTTTCTACCTTTTAATAGAGTGCTCAAATGAATGAAATACCATTCAGGACACCTATACTGGTTGTCCTATGATTTGCCCGTCCACTGGGTATTTCAAGGTTTGAGCCTTTTTGATTCTAAGTTTTCCCAAAGTTTAGAAAGTTTGGATGGGTTTTAGGGCACTGTGGTAATCTTCCATCAAAACGATTGAGTCTTAATTATTAGCATGTTATTGGCCAGGAGAGCAATTCATACATGTGTCGCATGGTATGGACCTGTGAAAGATCGAATTATACAAAGGCTTCGAGCAGAATTTAAGGTTTTCTTTTTTATGACAATAAAAATAAAACCGTGAAATCCACCACGTAATTACAGAAATGAATTTCGCTTTTGCGGTATGTGTCAAAAGTGAAATATAGTTTTGCTGTCTGTAACTGCAAAATAAATTCAATCTCGCATCTTGTGCAGATGAGGGTTAATATTATTGAGATTTAGCAAACTATTTTCATTTATATGATTTTTGGGCATGCGCAATTAAATTTATTTTGTAAATCTACTCCAGAATTCCTTTTTTTAAAAAGGATTACATTTTGCCAGCTACAAGAGATTCGCGATTTATATAATTACATAAATATTTGAAAAATTCTGCGGATTTTATGAGTATAAATTGACGTTAAATGTGTTGAGATAATATGAAATTTCTAGCAATAGTTATTTTTAGCCTACTCATTTGGAAGTGGAATGTGAAAGTGAGAACCATGCAGGTCGGAGGGACGATGAAAGGCATTTCTATGTGCAGATTGTGTCCAACAATTTCGAAGGATTGCAAACCGTACAGGTGAGGATTTAAGCTAATTACAGCAACTACTTCATCAACTTACCTTTACACATTTCTCAGAGTTTTAATATATTTTTCAGAAGCTTTGAGATAACTCACAATTTTTCCAATCTCAACTTCAGCTTCTTGCAAACCTGCAACATCCTTATACCTTATTTTTTGAGTGTTAGTGATATTT